GGCACACAAGACCTTCATTTCAGTCATAAAACAAGTTTTGGTGAATTATGTCGCTTTTGAGGTTTGCACACTTTTACATATCTGCGTGTACCGTGAAAAGAAGGCAAATACCCATGATTTTTATTTCACATATCGAAAGGGCATGACATTTCCTTTAAATGAGCCCTGGGAGCCCCTGTATCTGGTGCCGATCTCCTGCAATATGGGCCCCAAAAAATGTGCCATTTTGGCTCAAAATGGGTCAAAAAGGGCGATTTTTTTTTTTTTTCAACGGGCTTTTGGAGCGAAAACGAGGGCCCTACCCCATACTTTCGTCATTTGAACTTTAAAAATAGAGTCAAAAGACCTACCGATTGCACCCTGAATAAGTCGATTTTTCGATTGGGAACACCCCTCACCAAAGCCTCAAAAGTACCTGAAAAATAAGCTCGAAATTGCGATTTCGGATAGAAGGAGTTGAGCTACGATCTTTTCGGGGGCATAATCGGATTCCTCTCGTGATTTTACGTTTAAAAGATACCATTTTCGTCCTTTTAGAGTGAACGGTACGGAAAAAAGGGACCCTTTTTTACTTTTTATATAAAATTTTGGAAAGTCTTAAATAAAAAAATTGAACCGCTATATCTCGGAAACTACTGGGGCCACGGCTGTGAGATTTTGCACGGATGTTCCCCCCTATGAGGGCAACATTTGAGCCAAATATGAGCAAAATCGGAGATGGTCGATTAAGCTCGTGTAAATCTACCATGGAACGCCCCTTCTGTTTTGAAGAAAGGGAGGTGTGGGGGGCGGATAAGCCATTGCCTGCCGAAGGTAGGCTAGCGCCGCAGGCCAAGGTAGGTACGCCAGGCGCCACTGTGGCAAAAAGGTACGGAAAATTCTGTCAATTTTTTTGCCAGGATTCTTCGTAGGCCTTTTATCAATATTCTCCGTAGGCTCTTACAGTATTCTCCATAGGCCCGTACAGTATTTTCTGTAAGTCCGCACAGTTTACTCTGTAGGACCTGGAAGACTGTGTAGTCCTACGGAGATCACTGTAAGGTCCTACGGAAAATACTGTAAGAGCCTACGGAGAATATTGATGAGGGGGCTACGGAGAACTACCACAAGCTGTTTACAGAATTTTCCGTAGCTGTTTGCCACAGTGGCGGATTGGAGGAACAGGCAGCGAGACATCGCGAAGCCTGTTACGACAAGACGCGGTCTGGCGTAAACCTACCTTGTAAATCATAGAATTACTTAAGAATATTTAGGACCAATTCAGCACGAATAGAAAATTCAAGTCGTCGCTGATTGAAGAACAAGAGGAATAACAAACCTGGAAAGGAGGGGGGCGAAGGATGTCAGAAGTGCGCAACGAAATATACAGGGTGAGTTTTCTCACTGTGTCAATAATTTGCAGGCAGTTTAGGCATCTCTAGGGGACCATTTTTCACCAATGAACTAGTGGGCGCAAACGTCTAGATACGGAGATAATTGGTGTTTTGAATTTGGATTTTGCGCCTACAAGGTAGGCACCCGGTGCCACTGAGGGTGGCAGGACCTGTCGAGGGGGTGTCGCGGGACTAGCAGTACTCGCGGGAGTGCCACTTAGCTCGCGGAAGTATCCGTGGAATCCCGCCACCCTCGCAAAGACAGGCGTGAGATCCACTGTAACGGGGGCCACCATGGCAGCCCCTTGAGACCCGCGGCAACCCCCCCAAAAGACATTTGCAAGGTCCGCCGCACCCCTTCGAGACTCGAAGCACCCCTCCTAGACCCGCGACACCCCCACGTGAGGTCCTGCGCCCATCAGTGGCAGCGGGTGCCTACCTCGCAGGCGCGAAGGCCAATTACAAAACACCAATTATCTCCGTACCTAGACGTTTGCGCCCACTAGTTCAATGGTAGAAAATGATCCCCTTGGGGTGCCCAAACTACCTACAAATTATTGACACATTGAGAAAACTCACCCTGTATGAACGGTCCCTAGCGAACCCGGTTGAAGGGAGAAATGTTGACAAATGTTTTCCCCTAGAGACCCCTACATTAAGCGTTTAGGATTCAATAGAATCAACGTTTTAGGCGCAAAATTTCGACCCTTTAGGATAGAATTCAGGCGCCTTAAAAGTAGGTTGATGCGTGGATTAAGCGGGTTAAATTGTGGTTTTATAGAAAAATATGCGAAGGAAGAAAATACGAGCGAAATGACAAGTGCTGGAATTTGCTCATAATAAGTACTATTAAATGAAATTATCAAATTACAAGGTAGGTGTACGCCAGTGTCTTGTCGTGACAGGCTTCGCGATGCTGCGCCAGTTTCGAAAATCCACGCCTGGCGTATACACTTACCGTGGCCTGCGGCGTTAGCCTGCCTTCGGCACACTGTAAAAAATTCCCTACTTTTGTACGGAAATGGTACAGAAAAATATCGTACGGAGGTACGGAGAAAAGTACGGAACGTTCCGTACTTGCTCCATATGAACCCATGTAAATGGGTACGGAGAAAAGGTACGGAACGTTCCGTAGTTGGCAAAGTACGGACGGTCCAGGCAAATTATTGACCAGACATGTTCCGTACTTTTTTCTCACAGTGCAGGCTGCTTTGCTAGACAATAACTTAGAGTCGGGGGTCAGAATAGGTTCTTTTTTTCGTCATCAGCACCCTCAAAAACATAGGGGGGGATAGAGAACTTGACAAAAAGTTGGAAGTACCTAAAGAGTTGTATTTTTACTACAGTTTTTTAAGACTTTATTGGTGGTTCCAACCGCAGGAATTATGACAGAAAGCTGAATTTTGGTGTGTGGCGAGGCAAGGACATATCTACTGACCCTGCAAAATCTCAGCCCAATCGGCCGAGCCGTTCAGGAGTAGCAGTGCGGACAGACAGACAGACACACACACACACACAGGAAAAACTTTCCAGCCCAACACGAGTAACAGGTTTCGCTGTCGCTCAGCCAATAATCTACACACAAAACTAGAATTCAGTCAAGTAAAATGCTAGTTTCATTTAGAGAGAAGTGGAAGAGCGGTCGAGAGTTTTTACGGAATATTTCGTGCGTAACAGGGCCGTTTAAGCGGGAAAACGCGATTTTGTGCGCACAATAAGCAAGTAGGGTCAGTTGGGGTAATTATGGGACACGGGGTAAAAATGGGACAGCTAATTCTTAGTCAAGATTTGACATTCTTGAACGCATGACATGAAAAATGTGATGTTTTTATAGACACCATAACGTTTTCTACGGCATAAGTTCCAAAATCTCGATTCTTGACTAAGAATCAGCTGTCCCATTTCTAGCCCGTGTCCCATAATTACCCCAACTGACCCTATGCGTTTTTGTTCCCAAATTATGCGTCATCAAGCGGTCTTGTTGGGTGTGGTAGACCTACTTGCGAGATGTTAAACTGTCAACCTTATGACTTTTCCTCGTACTTAAAAAATATGCGATTAAGCACGCGCATAATTCAGTCTACCTTTGACAAAAGAAGTATTCCAAGAAGACATTGCATTTAAACGGAAAAAAAGGAAATCTATTGCTCCGTGAGCCGTCGTCTTGTGAAGCAAAACCTTCGCAGGGCGACGCATAATACCGTACACATACTGTGAGTTACCGTCTTTAGCTCGCTTCGCTCACTGGATTTTGAACATTTTAAAAGAAATTTCAATAGGATTGGGTCCTTGTCCTTGACGGTTCCCTTGTCCTTGACGGTAGGCAACCCAGCAAGTATCATAAATTTTCGCCCGCCCCCCTTCCCACGCCAGAGAGTACTTCCGGCGGTTAAAATCAGCTTCAGCGCATGCGCAGACGTTCCCCAATCACATGCAGGTGAACGAGCTGTTTCTGGGGGACATACATTGGTCTTTTTACTTCCGTTGGAAAAATCATTGGGGTACCCTACTATCGTAACACAGCAATAGAATACTCCAATAAATCTCGAAACGGAAGAAGAAAAGTAAGCCCGAAATACACTGCGCATGCGCTCCGGATGTTGGGGGAACGTCTGCGCAAGCGCAGAGACAGTTTTTAGGGCTAAATTTTCTTCATCTTCCGTTTCAAGATTCATTGGAGTACCCAATACTTCTTTCAGTGCCTTACATACTGTGAAATACTAAAAGGAAGGCATTCGATCCCTCGAAAAACAGATACACCGGAAGTGGGGTTGCGTCGGCCAATCAGAAGCCTCCATTCATCTTGGGTAGGCGCTACCACTGATGAAAAGAGGCTCCTGATTGGCCGACGCGACCCTACTTCCGGTGCATCTATTTTTTTCGAGGGATCGAAGTGGGTCTAGCGCAATAGTCTATTACGACGCAAAATACGAAGCTTTGCTTCACAAAACGTTTCTATGAGGCACTTCTAGCAGGGTCTGAAATGAAGAACAAGAACATAGACCGGAAATGGTAAAAGAAATCGGCCTATTTTCGGGGGTTTTGTCATTTTTTGATTGAGAATAAACATTCGTCACCAAGAAATAAGCGTTAGTTAGCAACTGTTTCCGGCTTATGTTCTTCTCTCCAGGCCCTGCTAGAAGTGTCCATTCTACAAATGCCTTAATTTTCTTCGTAGTTACGAAGCAAATGCTTCGTGGGCTTATAGACTAGTTGAGGAGTAGACTCTTCGTATATGTATTGACTCACTTCAAGTTCAGAATCGACGAGAAATCCGTAGGGTCAGGGTGGGCAAAAACTGGGCAGGGGAAGAACTGAACACCCCATATGTCACTTCAAATACCGAATGCACAGGCATAACAGCCATCAAGAGTTGTTCCGTGGCATCAGCGGTTCATGACATGATAGTTGTTGGGCCGGCGCATACGGCATTTGAAGTAAACTGTGGGGTGTTCAGTTCTCCCCGCGCACTGACCCTCGTATTGGAGGCTGAGCGGAAGCACCCACAACAGTCTGCTTCGTTACGACAAAGAAAATCAAAGCTTTGAACAATAACTTCGTACACAGCAGATATGCTTCGTAACACACTGCGAAACGATACATCGTACTCTGTCCTAGGTGGCCTACCGTTAAACCGTAGCGCAGGATCACGTGGATGAGCCGGTGTACGAGTGGAAGAACGCCAGGACGCGACTGCCGTGCCGAGGATGAAGAAGCGCACGCTCCACACAAGCTGGTGTCTGACACTGCACTGACTGTGCGAGCGAGCCGCACGCACGGGGAGAGTGGCGGCAGGTCGCGTGGACAGGGGAGAGGGCGCTGCGTCGGCGGCGGGAACGAGAGTGAAATGCTGCGTCAGCGAGTCATCGTGAGCCGAGCCATCCCCGCGTCCAAGGACAAGCGCGGCGGCGGCCGGGCACGGCGAACCAGAAGACCGGCGAAGGCTGTCAAAATGTTGGACGGAAAGGGAAGTCGAACCGAACTTGTGACCTCACCAATAGATTGCTCTTCTTAGGAGGAATCCACTGAAGGGGTCACGCGTCTGGTTCAAGGCCTGTCCTGTTTATGAGACTCTGGAGCAACATCACACGTCCGAGATTTTGACAGCCTCCGACGATGTCATCCGGCCCACTGTGCGGCCGGGCGGCAACGCGCGCTACGCTCTCAGCGTAACGCGATCACCGACAACGCCCGACGTCGCCGCCACTGGACTCCTGCGCCCCGAGCTTCCGGACAAGGATGCCGCCGGCTTGCGAGTGAGTCACTTCTTTTCTTCTGCTTTGGCAAGGGACTAATTTCGAGTTGCGTTGCGCTGCATATTTACGGGTCGGGGTGTGTGAGGCGACGGGGTTCGATTTTCGTCCTAATGCACTTTGTTAATAGAGTACTCCAAAGAAGCTCTGGCCCGGAAGAAGAACAAAAACGGAAGTAAGAAATTGAAGTTTCTATGAGAAATATACGCTGCGGACCCTCATGCGCGGCGTATATTTCTCATAGAAACTGCAATTTCTTACTTCCGTTTTTGTTCTTCTTCTTCCGGGTCAGGGCTTCTTTGGAGTACTCTATTCGGAGAAATAGTTCGCGAATCACGAGATATTTTTGTTGTAAGTTTGCGTACGCTCAAAATACTTGAAAGCTTCATTACTTCGGAAGGGTCTCAGAGTGTGAGTGAGTGGGTTCGGAAGGGGTCTACAGACCTGCGTAACGCCGTGTAACAGTGCGGGGGGGGGTCGTCAAGTGCCTCAAACTGCGCAACGGACAAGACCCTTTCAGTCACTACCGACTTAAGGTCAAAAGTAATCAACAAGCAGGAACCAGCAGCACGTCACTAAGTGCTCTGAATCTCGTCGAGGCCTGCGCTTTTGAGGGGCCATCAGTTAAGTGCGTTACGCCGTTCCGCCCCGATGGGGAAGGGGGGTTTCTGCTCTGCGTAACGTCACGCAAAATGTTTCTTATAAGAGAGCACATTTTAGACAATCAACTGGTTGCAGGGTATTTCCGCGACTCTTGGAACGGAAGGATGATGAACACGAGCAAGTGCATATCTTCCGTCCTCTCGCCTAAGGATGGGCTTCAAGCAACGGGCTACTCACCCTCCTTAACCGTGCACGGAGCACTATTTTTATCGGAATTATTGAAGTATAATAGGAATAACTGGAGTACAATTCGTATTATCGGTGCGATAATACGTCTTAAACCCGGGGTAACTAAACCAAGGCCACGGGAGTCTTACCGGAAGCAGGCAACTCCCAAGTGTGTTAACTGCGTTCACCCACGCCCACGCTTCGAGTAGCTGCCGGGCCGTTAGGCAACCCTCAAAAGCACCGGGGTGAATTTGAACTCGTGCTGACGTTTTCAGACCTCACCTTCACTTGAACGTTCATCACCGGCACTCAAAGCAGAGCGTCTGATCTTCAGAAAGTTTGAAGACGACGCTGTTTCAGCTTAGGCGCGCTACTTCTTTCGGAGGCAACGCTCGAGCCCTTTGGGTTCAATGGGCAGCTATCTTTACCCCCCCCCCTTTCCCCCGCTCCGGCGAGGGGACGGAAGCGTGCGCTTGCTTGGGTTCTTCTCCGTTTCAAGAGTCGCAGTAATACCCTTTAAGAGTTTACATATCGTCCATCTGAGAAATGTTGCGTAACGTTTGGCTGTAAGAAGGAGAGGAGGTTCTGGCCCAGCGTAACGCTGCGTAACATGGTGGACGTGGGTCCTAAAATGCTCTCAAGTGCGTATTATAATAGGGTACTTTCGTAGATCCTGAAACCGGAAGCAAGCAGAACAGCAGACGCCAAATTGGCCGGAAACTAACCTCTCTTCGGATCTAAAACTATAGCCGAGCTGTAAAAATATTGATCGCGAAACACATATGCACTGCAAACAAGTATTACACGACTGTTTATGTTCAAGTGTGGCCGATACGTTTGACTAACGTCTCTTTCCCATGTCAAGTTTGGATCTACTTCCGCCAACATGGCGTCTGTGTGCTTCCGGTTCAGGGTTCCACGATAGTACCCTATTAATGGACGGCCCCCCTCTGATCAGCGGTTACTTTTCTGTCAGGTCACTGTACCGGCCGCTTAATGGCGCGCAGCTGGTGCCTGGATTTTTTATTACTTTTATTCTTTACTCGACGACGACTGAAAGGTACTCAAATTATCTTACATCGAAATTTTGCTCCCCTTTTTGCTCCCCTCTCCCTTTTAGCCCGAAGTTACTGCTTGCTCTTTTGATAAGGGTGAAGTGTAGTGTTACGCAGGCTCTGACTCGGCTGGACTGCAAGTAAGGTTATTTAGCATATTCACGCAGCATTTAGACTAACAGTACAATTATAATTACGAAATTCCAAATTCTGTTACAAACTGCCCCACTCTCCCTCATTCCATTGAATCTTCCAACGGCAAAAGAACTAACGTGAGCGGCGCTGACAGCGTCTGCGCATGCCAAGGGGCAAACAACTTGAATTTTGGTGTTCATTTTCCTTGAAATAACTATGAAAAAATTGGGAAGTAACGCGAAATAACGTGAAATACCGTTGAAACACCGTTGAAATATCGCTGAAATAACAATGAAATATCGCGAATTTGAAATAATCTTCCGTTTTAAGATTCTTGATACTCCCCTACGAGGTTTTCCCTCGCGATATGCCCTTGTCGGCGCTGCGTGTCCCGACGTGGAGCAACAGAGTGTTCCAAAGCAGCTCCGCCCTGGAAGCAAACCTAACCTGGATATTGGAAATGGCAGTGTCTGAGTCAAATATACGCTGCAGATGACCTCCTCCTGACCTCGTCCGCCCCGTACATTTCTTTGAGAAAGTGCAATATATCCACTGTGGCAAAAAGCTACGGAAAATTCTGTAAACAGCTTGTGGTAATTCTCCGTAGGCCCCTTATCAATATTCTCCGTAGGCTCTTACAGTATTTTCTGTAGGACCGCACAGTCTTCTCCGTAGGACCTTACAGTGATCTCCGTAGGGCTATACAGTCTTCGAGGTCCTACGGAGAAGACTGTGCGGACTTACAGGGAATACTGTACGGCCCTACGGAGAATACTGTAAGAGCCTACGGAGAATATTGAAAAGAGGGCTACGGAGAATTCTGGCAAAAAAATTAACGGGATTTTCTGTACCTTTTTGCCAGTGTCTGACTTCCGTTTTGGTTTTCCTTTCTTCACTGTGAAACCGAGGGAAGTCCGCCATGACCATTTTACATATTATTTCCTCTCACCCTGTTGAGCATTGCAGAAGAGTTCCAGTGGGATGGAGAGGCCCTTAAAAGTGGAAAGCACGAGGGCTGAATCACTAGTGAACTCATGTGTACAAATATGCCCGAACTCAGTGTGCTCTCAAGTTAAAAAAGGGCGAAATTCGCGAAGTTTTCGACCGATTTGGCGTTGAGTGCCGTTTTAAACGCCAAATAAAGCCTCTAAATGTTTTCAAATGTGAAATTTATGAGTAAAGCAAGGTGTACTCACCTGTACTAGTGCGTACATCAGAACGCATTCACCCCTCGCCAAAGGATCCCTTCATGCGGGCAACTGAACTATTAGAACTACAGGGGGGAGGTGCTCAAATCAGTGGTCGTGGGTCCACATCCTCTCTTACTAGGGGTTTTCACTGTTAATATATGCCCAGTATCACGCGCTTATTTTCCTAAAATAGCGTACCAATTGCGCGTTAATACGCGTCGAATCGAGTGAAGGGACTTCAGTACGCATGGTGTTGCACGTACGCATGCACACTAAATGTTTAGGTAGAATTTTGTTCGTGCAACTTGCACGATTTTGTGCATACGTGGAAACTGCATGATATCATGCGTGAAGATGCTTAAATTTAAGCAAATTCACGCACACTTTTATGCACGACGGTACACAAGTTTAAAATTATGCATCACCACTTACAAAATACTTCATAAACTTAAGTGTGTGGGCTACAATTTGCGGCATTACGTTTAAAGAACGCGTGTTACGTCCGACCTTCGGAGCGGTACGCTAGTTGTAACCTGTTCGGTTGGGCCTACCCGCACCTCCGAAGCTCATTCTTGATTTTCTATTTGTTTGCCTGTTCCTGTCTCTGAACACATCATGTTATTTTCCCTCATGAACGCAACTTTTTTTGCTGTTACAGGCTCGAAGGTCCTTGCAGTCCTGGAAGCCCTTCCTAGACTCCAATCTGATTGCCCGTCTAAATGAACTAACTTTGTTGCTTTGTTTCATGCGTAACTTTTTTTGGTGTTTCAGGATCGAAGCATCGTGCAAAGAGGAGGTTCTTTCCTTTGCCTTACGCTGGGACCTCATCCGCATGCTTTGAGAACACATTTTGCGCTGGACGCTTAATTGTAGCATGGCTTGCTTACGCCGGTCAGTGAGCACTTCACGGCGCAGTCGGACACTTTCAAGGTCCCGCTGAGATTTTCCTTCGTAATTCAAACATAACGCTCAGTGATTCGACAGCGAAGCGTACGCGCAGCGCAGCTACACCTGCGGTGTAGGGTTCTCGGTGTCGCTTCTCTGGCCCAAACTCTTCACGTTACGAGCATCTTTTTCATTATTGACATATATGTATTGTGAAGTAAGGCTGCACGGCATTTTACAGTGGGAAACGGGAAGTCCGGTAGTGCATGTGGTGTTGGCCGAGTGACAGCTTAGGTAGTTTTCACTGAGAGCAGTTGGTGTGGCGTGTAACTCACTGCGTGACTGTAAAGCTAATGCTGTTTTGCTTGCAGGCGCCGTGAAGGCCGAGCACCTGGAGGCCCCAGAGTCTGGAGGGCGGCACTGCGGGGCGGACGGCGGCTCTGGAGGCGAAGGTGAGTGGAGTCTTCGCGGTGCGGTCATATGGACGCCGTGGGCTGCAGGGGTGGATGCACTCTAAATCTATACCTTTGCTGTTTTGGCAGTACAATTGAGTATCACCAAAAAACGGCCGTACCGAAAAATCTTGCCATCAAAACAGCGATACACCAAAGTGTCGACCGAATTTGGCGATACTTTGGAGTATTGCCAAGATGACTAGTTCTTTGTTTATTGTCAAATTTCGGCGATACTTCTGTGTTTCGCCGTCTTAGAGGCAATTCTTTGCGGTAAGGCCAGTTTTTGGCAATACTAATTGTATCGCCAAAAAAGTTTCTCAAGTATCGCCTTTGGACTTGCATTG